AGAGAGAGAGACGAGAGACGAGAGAGAGGGAAGCGAGGAAGAGAGAGAGGAAAAAGAGAGGAAGAGAGAGAGAGAGAGAGCAAAGAAGAAGAGAGGAAGAGAGAGAGGAAGAGAGAGAAGGAAGAGAGAGAGGAAGGAAGAGAGGAGAGAGAGAGAAGAGAAAAGGAAGAGAGAGGAAGAGAGAGACGGCAGAGAGAGGAAGAAAGAGAGAAAGGAGAGGAAGAGCAGAGAGAGAGCGAGAGAGAATGAAGAGCGAGAGTAAAGAGGAGCCGAGAGGAAGAGAGAGGAGGACGAGAAGAGAGTATAGCAGAGAGGAGAGACGAGGAAGAGAGAGAGACGCGAGGCAGAGCGCTCGAGGCGCAGAGAGAGGCCGAGCAGACGAGGAAGAGAGAGAGCGGACGAGAAGATGCAGGAGAGCGAAAGAAGGATAGAGCGTAGGGAAGAGAGAGGGCAGAGAGGAGGAAGAGGAGAGGCCCAGCAGAGAGGAAAGGAGAGGTGAGAAGCGTAGCGAGGAGAGCGCAGAGAGAGGAAGAGAGAGAGGGAAGAGAGCGAGGGAAGAGAGGAGAGAGGAGGCAGAGACGAGAGAGAGAGAGAAGAGAGGAGGTAGAGGAGAAGAGCGAAGAGAGAGGAAGAGGAGAGGAGAGAGAGGGAAGAGAGAGAGGCCGACGAGGTAGTCAGAGGAGAGAGAAAGAGAGAGAGGAAGAGAGAGAGCAGGACGAGAGAGACGTGAAGAGAGAGAGGAAAGAGAGAGGAGCAAGTAGAGAGGAAGAGAGAGAGGAAGAAAGAGAGAGAGACTGAGAGGAGGAGGGAGGAAGAGAGAGAGGAGCAGAGAGGAAGAGAGAGGAAAGCTGAGCGACTTCGAGAGAGACAGAGAGACGAGAGTTGAAAGACAGAGAGAGCGAGGATCGCGCCAGATGAGCGCGAGAGAGAGAGGTAAGAGAAGAGAGAGCTGAGAGGGAAGAGAGAGCGGAGAGCGAGGAACAGAGCAGCAGAGGCGAGCGCGCGAGAGCGCGCATGAGCGAACGTACGAGTCTCTCGCTCTCTTCGTCTTTTCCTCTCTCTCTTCCCTCCTCTCTTCTCTCTCTCTTCCTCTCTCTCTTACTCTCTCTTCCTCTCTCTCTTCCTCTCTCTCTTCCTCTCTCTTCCTCTCTCTCTTTCTCTCTTCTTTCCTCTCTCTCCTCTCTCTCTTCCTCTCTCTCTCTCTCTCTTCCTCTCTCCTTCCTCCTCTCTCCTCTCTTCTTCCCTCTCTCTCCTATCCTCTCTCTCTCTCTCTCCCTCTCTCTCTCTCCCTCTCTCTCTCTTCCTCTCTCTCTCTTCCTCTCTCTCCTCTCTTTTCCCTCTCTCTTCTTTTCTCTCCCCTCTCTCTCTTCTCTCTCTCTTCCTCTCTTTCTTCCTCCTTCTCTTCCTCTCTCTTTTCCCTTTCCTCTCCTCTCTCTCTCTCTCTCTTCCTCTCTCTTCCTCTCTCTCTCTCTCTCTCTCTTCCTCTCTCTCTCTTCCTCTCTCTCTTCCTCTCTCTCTTCCTCTCTTCCTCTCTCTCTTCCTTTTCTCTCTTCCTCTCTTCCTTTCTCTCTCTCTCTTCCTCTCTCTCTTCTTCTCTCTCTTCTCTTCTCTCTTCCTCTCTCTCTTCCTCTCTCTTCTTCCTCTCTCTCTCTTCCTTCTCTCTCTCTTCCTCTTCTCTCTCTCTTCCTCTCTCTCTCTTCCTCTCTCTCTCTTCCTCTCTCTCTCTTCCTCTATCTCTCTTCCTCTCTCTCTCTTCCTCTCTCTCTCTTCCTCTGTCTCTCTTCCTCTCTCTCCTCTTCCTCTCTCTCTTCCTCTCTCTCTTCCTCTCTCTCTTCCTCTCTCTCTTCCTCTCTCTCTCTCTCTCCCTCTCTCTCTTCCTCTCTCTTCCTCTCTCTCTTCCTCTCTCTCTTCCTCTCTCTCTTCCTCTCTCCCTCTCTTCCTCTCTCTTCCTCTTCTTTTCTCTCTCTTCCCTTGTCACTCCCCCCCTCTCTCTTACCTTTTCCCTCTCTCTCACTTTCTCCCCGTTTTTCCCTTTTCCCCTCCTTCAAAATAGAAAGCGAATAATATCAGAGGGACCTGGAGACATGACTGATGAGCAAAGAGTTATTTTAGAACAAGGTATGTCTGCATTGTTCATTCTGGACCCTATTTTGAAATTCATATTTTTTTATTTTTTTGAAATTGGCCAAATTGCAAATTTTTGACCACATTATTGGGTAGTTGAAATCTGTAAATTGGCAGTTTCTTGTGCTCACTCGATAGAAAAAATGGAGTTTGAGTTTGGTCAACTGGAACAGTGGAATTAGTCGAAAATAGGGCTCAAAGTGGGCGAAATCGCCAATTCATAAATATCGCCAAGGTCGCTAACTTTGCGAGAGCATAATTCCGTCAGGTTTTCCATCAAATTTCATTCTTTTTGTCATTACAATTGGGAAAAGATTCTCTATCATTTCACAAGAAAAAAAAATCGGAAATTTTGCAACATCAGGAGACTCCTCGGGATTTGGTGTTGTGACAGTCAAGGTGTTAAATGAGGGGTTTGTGATATTGGCAGTTTGGAGGGATATGTTATATATCTTTATATATGCTTCTAAACTGTTGTATTTGGGTGCCTCTGCAAAAACTGTGATTATGTAGGAGTGAAGTGAGTGTTGAATGATGAAAGTACGTATTTTCTTTTTGGGGATTTTTTCTTTTTTGTATCAGCGTGCCTTGGTGGAAGATGGCAGACTTGTTAAAAATATATTTCTTGATATGAAGCCAGGAGTTCTGTTCATTATTACAAATTAACTAACCTTGACTACATTTTTGGTATGACAGTATATATAAATGTAAAGGTTTTCTAAGCTGTATTAAAAAATTATTCTAAACTCCAGGTAATTTTCAACGGTCTGAACGTATATATACGTTCACCTGCGCAACGCCCCGAATATTCTGACATCTTTTTTTTATAGGAAAAAAGAGCATGTGGTACCCAGGCGTCCCCAATTTTTTTCATATGGCGCACAGTGTGCACACCCATTCTCTCAAGTCTAGGCCACTTAGGCCTATCGTGCCAATGTCGAGTGAATGACAAACGAAACGTATATATATGTTTGGGGCACTACGCCAGAGAAATTATATATATGTTTGGGGCACTACACCAGAGAAATTATATATATGTTTGGGGCACTACGCCAGAGAAATTATATATATGTTTGGACCGTTTAAGGATTAATAATTATTTTAACTTAAGATTTCACATGCTATGTAACCTGCAGCTGTAGAACATAATTTCTCTTACTGAAGGTGCTGTAGAACATAATTTCTCTTACTGAAGGTGCTGTAGAACATAATTTCTCTTACTGAAGGTGCTGTAGAACATAATTTCTCTTACTGAAGGTGCTGTAGAACATAATTTCTCTTACTGAAGGCACTGTAGAACATAATTTCTCTTACTGAAGGCACTGTAGAACATAATTTCTCTTACTGAAAATTAACATCGTATTCATACTTAAAATTAACATCGTATTCATACTTAAAATTAACATCGTATTCATACTTAAAATTAACATCGTATTCATACTTAAATTAACATCGTATTCATACTTAAAATTAACATCGTATTCATACTTAAAATTAACATCGTATTCATACTTAAAATTAACATCGTATTCATACTTAAAATTAACATCCTATTCATACTTAAAATTAAACATTTGTATTCATACTTAAAATTAACATCGTATTCATACTTAAAATTAACATCGTATTCATACTTAAAATTAACATCGTATTCATACTTAAAATTAACATCCTATTCATACTTAAAATTAACATCCTATTCATACTTAAAATTAACATCCTATTCATACTTAAAATTAACATCGTATTCATACTTAAAATTAACATCGTATTCATACTTAAAATTAACATCGTATTCATACTTAAAATTAACATCGTATTCATACTTAAAATTAACATCCTATGCATACTTAAAATTAACATAGTATTCATACTTAAAATTAACATCCTATTCATACTTAAAATTAACATCGTATTCATACTTAAAATTAACATCGTATTCATACTTAAAATTAACATCGTATTCATACTTAAAATTAACATCGTATTCATACTTAAAATTAACATCGTATTCATACTTAAAATTAACATCCTATTCATACTTAAAATTAACATCCTATTCATACTTAAAATTAAAAATCCTATTCATACTTAAAATTAACATCGTATTCATACTTAAAATTAACATCGTATTCATACTTAAAATTAACATCGTATTCATACTTAAAATTAACATCGTATTCATACTTAAAATTAACATCGTATTCATACTTAAAATTAACATCCTATTCATACTTAAAATTAACATCCTATTCATTTCTTAAAATTAACATCCTATTCATACTTAAAATTAACATCGTATTCATACTTAATAAATTAACATCGTATTCATACTTAAAATTAAAAATCGTATTCATACTTAAAATTAACATCGTATTCATACTTAAAATTAACATCCTATTCATACTTAAAATTAACATCGTATTCATACTTAAAATTAACATCCTATTCATACTTAAAATTAACATCGTATTCATACTTAAAATTAAAAATCGTATTCATACTTAAAATTAACATCCTATTCATACTTAAAATTAACATCCTATTCATACTTAAAATTAACATCGTATTCATACTTAAAATTAACATCATATTCATACTTAAAATTAACATCGTATTCATACTTAAAATTAACATCCTATTCATACTTAAAATTAACATCGTATTCATACTTAAAATTAACATCGTATTCATACTTAAAATTAACATCCTATTCATACTTAAAATTAACATCCTATTCATACTTAAAATTAACATCGTATTCATACTTAAAATTAACACGGTATTCATACTTAAAGGAGTCTGACCACTTCCAGAGACCTAAGTGTTAATTAAGGATTAATCTGCAACTTGAAAAGCAACTTTAAAAGTTATTCTTTTCAGGTATTGACACTGACAAGTACAACTATCCAATTGGCTCTGGCAGAGTTACATTCAACAATGTTCAGTCCTACAGGAAAGCTGTTAGAGCAGAATTTATACAGATAAAAACTCCAAAATTTAAAAAGAAGGTGTGTAATTGATCTCCAACCATTTGTAAATTTAATTTCTAAAAAAAAAATTTCTCAGTACTACTTCAGCAGTCTCCCACAAAGGCAGTGAGCCAAAAAAGAAACTTTCACCATCATTCACACATAATGAGTGGTTGCAGAGGTGCCCAGATGTGACAGTTTAGATGTCACTCCAAACATCCAGTATTCCAAACATTTAAAGTGCAGACATTGTACTTCTCACCTCCACGACTGAATCTACCGAACCATTTTTCCTGAATCCCTTCACAAAATTACCCTCCTCGCAGTCCAACGCCTTGTCAGGTCCCAAAAACCATTAATTTCAATTCATTCTTTTCTAACATGCTTACACATGCCTGCTGCATATCTAGGCCCCTTGCACACAACCTCTTTTACCCTGTCCATCCTTTCCTAGGGCAACCCCTACCCTTCCTCTTTTACCCTGTCCATCCTTTCCTAGGGCAACCCCTACCCTTCCTCTTTTACCCTGTCCATCCTTTCCTAGGGCAACCCTTACCCTTCCTCTCCTCCGCTACAGATTTATACACCCTCCAAGGCATCCTATATTGTACACAATTACTGGAATTTTCTGAACAGTGTTAAATGATTTGGTTAATAGTTTGATAAAATGTAATTAGATAATGGCCATAGTAATTCATGTCACTTAAAGCATCCCTAGGATTTGCAAGTGTAACAGTGAAACAAACCCATTTCTAATGAATACTGGGACATTACCCTTGAATCTGATAAACTGCTCTTTTCATTTGAGAAACCATTTACTCTTTAACTCCCAGGTGCCCTCATCTGTCCTTTAAAGTGCAGCCCACAATTCTTTTTGACAATCTGGTGTAATTCTACTATGTGAAATTTTCTAATTCATAAGCTTCTGTGTGCTTTCTTCTCAGTGATGCATATGCAGCAGTTAATGTACAATACTGGTTTAGTTTTAATCCGGTAGGCCGGACTTGAGTCCTGGAGATGGGAAGTACAATGTCTGCACTCTGAAGGAAGGGTGTTAATGTTGGTTTTATAACTAGTGTGAGCCTGCCTCTGGCAAGACAATGGAGTGGGAAATGGCTGATGTGCTAATAAAAAAAATTAATAGCTCTTGAAATAAGGAATACATTAATGCAGCAAGGAAATGACAGCAAGGAAATGAGTGAGCTACTCAAGTCCCAATATGACTCAGTTTTTAGCAAGCCGCTAACCAGACTGAGAGTCGAAGATCAAAATGAATTTTTTATGAGAGAGCCACAAAATTTGATTAACACAAGCCTATCCGATGTTATCCTGACGCCAAATGACTTCGAACAGGCGATAAATGACATGCCCATGCACTCTGCCCCAGGGCCAGACTCATGGAACTCTGTGTTCATCAAGAACTGCAAGAAGCCCCTATCACGAGCCTTTTCCATCCTATGGAGAGGGAGCATGGACACGGGGGTCGTCCCACAGTTACTAAAAACAACAGACATAGCCCCACTCCACAAAGGGGACAGTAAAGCAACAGCAAAGAACTACAGACCAATAGCACTAACATCCCATATCATAAAAATCTTTGAAAGGGTCCTAAGAAGCAAGATCACCACCCATCTAGAAACCCATCAGTTACACAACCCAGGGCAACATGGGTTTAGAACAGGTCGCTCCTGTCTGTCTCAACTATTGGATCACTACGACAAGGTCCTAAATGCACTAGAAGACAAAAAGAATGCAGATGTAATATATACAGACTTTGCAAAAGCCTTCGACAAGTGTGACAATGGCATAATAGCGCACAAAATGCGTGCTAAAGGAATAACAGGAAAAGTCGGTCGATGGATCTATAATTTCCTCACTAACAGAACACAGAGAGTAGTCGTCAACAGAGTAAAGTCCGAGGCAGCTACGGTGAAAAGCTCTGTTCCACAAGGCACAGTACTCGCTCCCATCTTGTTCCTCATCCTCATATCCGACATAGACAAGGATGTCAGCCACAGCACCGTGTCTTCCTTTGCAGATGACACCCGAATCTGCATGACAGTGTCTTCCATTGCAGACACTACAAAGCTCCAGGCGGACATCAACCAAATCTTTCAGTGGGCTGCAGAAAACAATATGAAGTTCAACGATGAGAAATTTCAATTACTCAGATATGGTAAACACGAGGAAATTAAATCTTCATCAGAGTACAAAACAAATTCTGGCCACAAAATAGAGCGAAACACCAACGTCAAAGACCTGGGAGTGATCATGTCGGAGGATCTCACCTTCAAGGACCATAACATTGTATCAATCGCATCTGCTAGAAAAATGACAGGATGGATAATGAGAACCTTCAAAACTAGGGAGGCCAAGCCCATGATGACACTCTTCAGGTCACTTGTTCTATCTAGGCTGGAATATTGCTGCACACTAACAGCACCTTTCAAGGCAGGTGAAATTGCCGACCTAGAAAATGTTCAGAGAACTTTCACGGCGCGCATAACGGAGATAAAACACCTCAATTATTGGGAGCGCTTGAGGTTCCTAAACCTGTATTCCCTGGAACACAGGAGGGAGAGATACATGATTATGTACACCTGGAAAATCCTAGAGGGACTAGTACCGAACTTGCACACGAAAATCACTCACTACGAAAGCAAAAGACTTGGCAGACGATGCACCATCCCCCCAATGAAAAGCAGGGGTGTCACTAGCACGTTAAGAGACCATACAATAAGTGTCAGGGGCCCGAGACTGTTCAACTGCCTCCCAGCACACATAAGGGGGATTACCAACAGACCCCTGGCAGTCTTCAAGCTGGCACTGGACAAGCACCTAAAGTCAGTTCCTGATCAGCCGGGCTGTGGCTCGTACGTTGGTTTGCGTGCAGCCAGCAGCAACAGCCTGGTTGATCAGGCTCTGATCCACCAGGAGGCCTGGTCACAGACCGGGCTGTGGGGGCGTTGACCCCCGGAACTCTCTCCAGGTAAACTCCAGGTAGGGTTAAATGGTGCTACAGCTGCATATGCTAATATTTGTTACAAAGAATAAAAAGGGCCTAATACCATAGTTGGAACAGTATGCAGATAACCAGCACATAGGAGATGCTTGGTTTGTCCACCTTGGATCAGTGAAAGCAACAGACTAATTAATGCATTGTCCAAATCTAACCAAAATGTTGTCACATTTCTTGTATGTACGAGTTACGTATTTAAGTAACATTATGGATACCGTATTTTGTTGTATTGAAGCAAGTATAAAAATTAGGAACTTAATGAAAATGTGTGCACATGTACAGATGGCAATCAATTGGTATTCAGTTTCCTTAGATGCTTGTGTTCCTGTATTTCAAATAGTTAACAGTCCTTATTCTTCAGGTACAAGTTGACCCATACCTAGCAGACACTCTCTGCCAGCTGTGTGGCATGCATCTGGGCCCATATTTCTGCCGTGATGAGAATTGCTTCAAGTATTTCTGTCTATCTTGCTGGCAGTTGACTCACCCAGTTGATGCACATGGTGGCCATAAGCCAATAATGAGAAGTTCAAAGTTGCGTACTCAGACAACTCTCAGCCGTGTTATATAACTTTCCACAAGCCAGATCCTGCCATGTTTGTTGATTTTCTAGATTATAAAATTTTATTTTGTAACTTGAATCTATATTGTTTCTATTAATGTGGAATTCTATATTGAATACAATTGTTTTTGTACTTTGCATTCAAAAAATGGATGTGCTTGTCTTTTGGCAAGACTAATTTTAGTAAATTTGTTTTTATGTGGATTTAAAAGGTGGCTTTACCTATAACCATTGATAGACAACTGCAGTGTTGGTGTATGGTTTTATTATAGTAGCACTTGGTACAAGCCTAGGAAAAATATTCATAGTATTCACAATAGGATTCCAACAGCTTTTAACAGGCCAGTTTAGACTAGTTTTAATAGTGCACAATGACATTAGTATTATCCCAACATTTTAACATTTACATCATGCTTAAAGCTGTATGGAAAAGCCTCTTGGCTTTCTTTTTTTTTTTTTTTTTTTTTTTTTTTAAGCCTGATTTTTTAGTGCAGTCCACCAAAGCACTTTTATTCCTTTTTGGTTCTTATTTGTGTTGGGCACAAAATTGTAGGAAGTGCAGCCATGATTTTATTTCATTTAGTGTCTTGATCAATCAAGTTTAGGCAAAGGTTGGTGGTTTTAGGTAGAGCACAATTTGTCCCAAATTTTAATTGAATTTCTTCATTTAAGTTTTTTCTTTATTTTAATGTGAATTCCACATAGAAAAAAAAAGGCAAGATATGAGAAGAAACAGCTGTAGTATCATTACTTCCAACTGGAAGTTTTAGTTTATATTTAAAGATACTGTTTATATAAGGTGTGGTATAAAGTGGTAAGTGGTTATTGAGATGTACTTTATGTACAAGTGCATAGATGGCATTGCACAAGTCATGACTTGAAAGCTTCTTAAATTTTAATGTTAAAGAAATTGGGCAACATTGATACACACAGGCTGATAATTTTGTTGACGACTTGGCATGTTTGACTACTCTCCTGCTCCTTAAAGATACTTGGCATGTTTGACTACTCTCCTGCTCCTTAAAGATACTTGGCATGTTTGACTACTCTCCTGCTCCTTAAAGATACTTGGCATGTTTGACTACTCTCCTGCTCCTTAAAGATACTTGGCATGTTTGACTACTCTCCTGCTCCTTAAAGATACTTGGCATGTTTGACTACACTCCTGCTCCTTAAAGATACTTGGCATGTTTGACTACTCTCCTGCTCCTTAAAGATACTTGGCATGTTTGACTACTCTCCTGCTCCTTAAAGATACTTGGCATGTTTGACTACTCTCCTGCTCCTTAAAGATACTTGGCATGTTTGACTACTCTCCTGCTCCTTAAAGATACTTGGCATGTTTGACCACTCTCCTGCTCCTTAAAGATACTTGGCATGTTTGACTACTCTCCTGCTCCTTAAAGATACTTGGCATGTTTGACTACTCTCCTGCTCCTTAAAGATACTTGGCATGTTTGACTACTCTCCTGCTCCTTAAAGATACTTGGCATGTTTGACTACTCTCCTGCTCCTTAAAGATACTTGGCATGTTTGACTACTTTCCTGCTCCTTAAAGATACTTGGCATGTTTGACTACTCTCCTGCTCCTTAAAGATACTTGGCATGTTTGACTACTCTCCTGCTCCTTAAAGATACTTGGCATGTTTGACTACTCTCCTTCTCCTTAAAGATACTTGGCATGTTTGACTACTCTCCTGCTCCTTAAAGATACTTGGCATGTTTGACTACTCTCCTGCTCCTTAAAGATACTTGGCATGTTTGACTACTCTCCTGCTCCTTAAAGATACTTGGCATGTTTGACTACTCTCCTGCTCCTTAAAGATACTTGGCATGTTTGACTACTCTCCTGCTCCTTAAAGATACTTGGCATGTTTGACTACTCTCCTGCTCCTTAAAGATACTTGGCATGTTTGACTACTCTCCTGCTCCTTAAAGATACTTGGCATGTTTGACTACTCTCCTGCTCCTTAAAGATACTTGGCATGTTTGACTACTCTCCTGCTCCTTAAAGATACTTGGCATGTTTGACTACTCTCCTGCTCCTTAAAGATACTTGGCATGTTTGACTACTCTCCTGCTCCTTAAAGATACTTGGCATGTTTGACTACTCTCCTGCTCCTTAAAGATACTTGGCATGTTTGACTACTCTCCTGCTCCTTAAAGATACTTGGCATGTTTGACTACTCTCCTGCTCCTTAAAGATACTTGGCATGTTTGACTACTCTCCTGCTCCTTAAAGATACTTGGCATGTTTGACTACTCTCCTGCTCCTTAAAGATACTTGGCATGTTTGACTACTCTCCTGCTCCTTAAAGATACTTGGCATGTTTGACTACTCTCCTGCTCCTTAAAGATACTTGGCATGTTTGACTACTCTCCTGCTCCTTAAAGATACTTGGCATGTTTGACTACTCTCCTGCTCCTTAAAGATACTTGGCATGTTTGACTACTCTCCTGCTCCTTAAAGATACTTGGCATGTTTGACTACTCTCCTGCTCCTTAAAGATACTTTTGAGTGAATAGCTCAGTAATGGTTTAGTTTCTTATGGAATTAATAGAAATTATGTACTTTACTTTTCATTGTACTAGCTTTGGCAGTACATATACTAAAAAATCTTCTGTTTTGTTTGAATTTTTGTTAAATTTATCATTTATTTTGGTGGAATATATTTGCAATTTAAGACTTTTTTCATTGTTCCTATAATTAAATTTTTAACTGCTTATAGTTCACTGCTCCAATTTTCCCTTAAAGGGATATTTCTGAAATTCAGCTACTAAATGATGAAAAGGCATAGTTGGCCTTGTTGTAATCTAGCAGCTTTAGTATTGTGATGTACCTCCTGCTGATGAAAATTTAATCTCGGAGCATGTCAAATAAACCTTTTCAGATGCATGTTGAACAGCAATAATTCAATTCAATTCAGAGTTTATTCTCTATAAGGATTACAATGCTGAGTTTACAGAATTTGGTTATTGTGTGGTTTACATGTAGTAAAATAATTAGAGGGTACTACTAGAACATCTAGCATGGCTAGCCTCTTCAAGGGGGGCTCCTTGGCGTGGTGAAGAGGCTCTTGGTCTGAGGAATCAGACCTGTTGGTCTCCTTCCTCAGACCGAACCTAATTACCCCCCAATCCCCCCCTCCCTATCCCATCCTCCCCTTTTTCCTTTCCTCCTCCCCACCCCTCCCTTTTGCCCTTCCTCTTTTTGGCCTTTGAGATTTCTCCCACAGGTGCGCTATTATTATTATAATCAAAAAGAAGCACTAAGCCACAAGGGCTATACAGCGCTGCAGGGTAGGGAAGGAAGCGAGGGTATTGGATGGCAGAAGGGAGGAGGGATGATCAGTAGGTTACAGAAAACAGCGGGGAAGGGGATAGTACGGGGGTAGAGGGTAGCAAGAGATTGAAGTAGAAAGGGCTGAAGGTATCAGAATTTGTGAAGTAAGTCAGTTGTTGTCTAAAAGTCAATGAGAGAGTCTGGATGAAAGGTGGGTCCATCAGCGAGAAGAAGGTAAAGAGAGAGCAGCAGAGCGAAGACGACGACGGAGGTAAATTCTGCGTGCTCGTTGATAAAGTTGGCAGTCCAACAGAATGTGGCTGACTGATAATGGAACTTGGCAATTCTCAGAGAGGAGCAGGGCGCCTCTCCATGAGATATCCATGAGTAAGAAGAGTATGGCCAATGCGAAGACGGGAGAGAGTAGTCTCCCAACCTCGACACTGGTGATAAGAAGATGGCCAGTAACCTATACTCGGTTTAATAGATTGAAGTTTGTTGCCGAGCATAGTAGACCAACGTTGTTGCCAACAGGTGTGAAGTTGGGAAGATATTACAGCAAAATAGTCCGTAAATGGAATACCTCTACATGAAACTGGTAGGTCATGTACTGCTGACTGCGCAGCAGTGTGTGCCTGTTCATTGCCCTGTACGTCAACATGACCAGGGACCCAACAAAAAACAATATGCTTGGTAAAGATGCGGCGTAGCCAAAGTTGGATATGGAGGACTAAGGGGTGAGGTGTATCAAATTTCTGTATAGCCTGTAAAGCACTAAGGGAGTCTGAGACAACCACAAGTGATGACACAGGCATAGATGCAATACGGATAAGTGCTGTAAGGATGGCATACAATTCAGCAGTAAAAATACTAGCTGAAGATAGTAAATGCCCTTGTACGAAGCTGTCCGGAAACACTGCTGCAAATCCTACGCCGTCAGAAGACTTAGAGCCATCTGTGTACACAGCAATGGCATTAGAATGAGTGAAAGTGGTCAAGAAAAAGAGAGCGGGAAGCGACCGTAGACAGTTGCACTTTCGAGCAAGGGAGAGAGAAAGAACAGACTCGAACAGCTGGAACTTCCCAGGGGGGTAGGGAAAAGTGAGATGCTACATGTACATAGAAAGGTGGTAATTGAAGAGACGACAAGAGCGAATGAAGGCGAAGAGAGAAGGGATGGAGTAAACAGGGGCGGCGAACAAATAATGTCTACTAATATCAGTGACCATTCTATAAGTGGAAGGATTGCGGAGATCATGAGAGTGTACATAGTAGCGAAGGCAATGGGCATCACGGCGATCGGATAAGGATGGAACGTTCGCTTCTGCATAGAGGCTCTCGACAGGGGAAGAGCAAAAAGCACCAAGGCATAAACGTAATCCTTGGTGATGAATGGGGTTAAGGCTAGAGAGAGTAGCAGGAGATGCCGCTGAATAGATCTGGTCACCATAATCAAGTTTCGATAAAATAAGGGTGGAATGTAGGCGAAGGAGGGTTCGACGATCAGCTCCCCATGAAAGATGAGCAAGGGTTTTAAGAAGGTTCAGCCAGCTGTGACAAGTTTCCTTCAGAGAGGTAATGTGAGGTTTCCAGGATAACCTACGATCAAAGAGGAGGCCCAGAAACTTGACTGTATCACGTTCAGGGATACGGGAGCCATAGAGGTACAAAGGATGATCGGAGATGACAGAGCGTCTGTTGAAAGTAATTTGGTGGGTTTTAGTGCTGGAAAATTTAAACCCACATGTGGTGGCCCAATTGGAAACACTATTTGTCCATACCTTGCTGCATTACACTGCAGCCCGTATCCACTTGAATAAGTGGTTTGCAATGTTCTTTATATCTCTCTCCTTCTCGAGCATTTTCTATCCCAGACTTTGCCTTTCTTGTTTCATCCTTACCACCACCACTTGTGTTACTTGGTGATTTTAATGCCCACCATTTCCTCTGGGGAGGGGGGGTCTCATTGTGACTCGCGTGGCGTCCAGTTGGAGGCTTTTCTCGCCTCTCACCCCCTCCATGTTTTAAATACGGGTACTCCCACCCATTTTGATCCTTGTACTCATACTCTCTCTTGCATCGATCTATCAGTCTGCTCTTCCTCCACTGCACTAGACTTCACCTGGTCTGTTCTACTGGACTTACATGACAGCGATCATTTTCCAATCATTCTTACTTCTTCCTATTCACCACCTGTCCGCAGCCCTCGCTGGCAATTTGATCGGGCAAATTGGGATCTTTACTCACACCTCACTGCTTTTAGTGAGGTTCCTTCTTCATCCTCCATTGATGAGCTCCTACACCTCTTCTCGATGTCAGTTTATACCGCAGCTTCTCATTCTATACCTGGAGTTTACCTGGAGAGAGTTCCGGGGGTCAACGCCCCCGTGGCCCGGTCTGTGACCAGGCCTCATAGTTGATCAGAGCCTGATCAACCAGGCTGTTACATCAACTTGTCGGTACCATATTTTTTTTTATATCAAATTCTAAGTGATAAAGAATAAAGTGATCAAGGAGGGGTTTTGGGATATTAGCAGTCTGGAGGGATATATTGTGTATCTTTATACGTATATGCTTCCAAACTGTTGTGTTCTGAGCACCTCTGCAAAAACAGTGATTGTGTGAGTGAGGTGAAAGTGTTGAATGATGATGAAAGTATTTTCTTTTTGGGGATTTTCTTTCTTTTTTGGGTCACCCTGCCTTGGTGGGAGACGGCCAACTTGTTGAAAAAAAAAAAAAATCATAGATGAGCACTGCTGAATAATGCCTTACTTTGAAGTAATTACAGGTAGTTAGAAAACAATCAGAACACCTTTAACAATATCTTAAGGGATAGTTACAACACATGAGTATTCCTACCTTTAGAGCCAAGTACACCGTGAGGATTTGAAGCATTAGGGAGAAGAGTAACTCTCAGGTCCACTGGAATATCCAAAGCTGTTGGTGGTTTGTATTCCTGAAAATAACAACACATCTTAGTTAAAAATTTAAGAACCCTTTGGGGGTTTCAGACGTACTAGTACGTCTTACGACCCAGGGTTTTTGACGTACTAGTACGCCTAAATTCTAGTGCCCTCAGATCTAGTGAGAGAAAGCTGGTAGGCCTACATATGTAAGAATGGGTCTATGTGGTCAGTGTGCATAGTATAAAAAAAATCCTGCAGCACTCGGTGCGTAATGACAAAAAAAAAAACTGACCGTGTTTTTGGATTAAAACAGCGACTTTGCACTGTATTTTCGTATGGTATTTATTGTTGTATTCTAGTTTTCTTGGTCTCATTTTATAGAATGGAAGACATATACAAATGAGATTGAGTTTCAATGAAAGTATAAATACAAATACAAGTGCAAACAAGCTATGCGGTCCAATACACATCAACTGGTGAGTCTAATATTCTTTCACAAGTGCGCTGATATTATTTATACCATTTCTACACTAATGCAGTAGTCTGCATAACAGTAAATCTTATTTTTTTTGTAAGAATAAAAATTCAAAGTGGGAAGCCAAAGAAATATAAGAGGGGCCTGGGGATGTGACTAATGAACAGAGAACTTGTTATTTTAGTACCAGGAATGTCTTTCTTGTTTATTCTGGACCTTATGCGGAAATTGGCATCTTTTGAAATTTGTGTGAAATTGGCAAAATCGCTAAATTCTGACCACTTTATTGGATAGTTGAAATCGGGAAATGGGTGGTTTCTTGTACTCATTCGATAGAAAAAATGGAGTTTTAGCGAAATAGTTATGATTTTTGTCGACTAGTACACTGGAATTGTCTGAAAATAGGGCTCAAAGTGGGTAAAATCGCCAATGCGTAAACATCGTCGAGACCGCTAACTTCGCGAGAGCATAATTCCGTAAGTTTTCCATCAAATTTCATACTTTTGGTGTCATTATGATTGGGAAAAGATTTTCTATCTTTTCATAAGAAAAATAATTTTTTTTTTTTTGAAATTTGGCCAACCCTGAGAACAAGTCTCTGAGAGGACCTGTCGACCCCCAAAGGGTTAAACTGACAGAAATGTTCAAATAAAACTGTAAACAAAACTTAGTATGCTAACCTTGGTTTATCAACCTTACTTTATAATAATACAGGAATAATAATGCTATGCATCTGTAACTTTAAAATTTGAAATTTGTTTTCTGCTAAAATTAACTTTCATCACCATCTTCATGATTATTCCAAAAATATAATTTGTTATTCTGCATAGTTCATATTTTGATATGGTAACTAAAATGGCATTGTTTGCATACAGTAAATGACAATTTTAATTGTACTATTAAATAACTGGTGGGGAAATATATTGCTTATCCAAACAAAGTCTACCTTGAAATAAAGCAAAGGAAACCATACCACAGGTGGGGTTAGAACCCGCGATCAGAGAGTCATAAAACTCCAGACTGATGCGCTAGCCCAGTGGCTAACGCATCAGTCTGGAGTTCTACGACCCTGCCCATGGTAGGGTTTGTTTGCAATTGTGTTATTACGATTTCGTGAGCCAAGCAAAGGAAAAGTTAAAGCATTTAGGAGCTATCGAGAAGCACAGGAGATTAAGTGTATAACAAATGTAGATGAAAGCTGCACCAAATATCTTAACACAGGAAAACCCAGCAATCCTGTCAAAGTGCAAAATGTTAATAGGTTTCTATTTTATCACTCATTTAACTGAATGGTAATATTTCTCTGGTCAATTATTGTCTACCAAGCTACTGCATATCAAATTAAAATCTCAAACTTAATTTTTTCATGTAAATCAAAACAATTTTTACATCATATAATTCTAAAAACTGCATGACAGTTCAATGCCTCAGAATTACAATTAAAAATGTTAAAAAAAAAAAAAAAGACATTCTTACCCAAGTGCTGTTTGACAGTTTCTGGCCTGTATTTGTATCATATTTTACAATTTCTGAGGTATAGAGACCTAAGCCCATGATGAAGGCACCTTCCACTTGTCCGATATCAATGTACGGATTCATACTTCTCCCACAGTCTTCAATGATGTCAACACGCCGTACCCCAAACCTCAGGCAGGCATTCTCAGAAGTGCGTGCCTTGGTGGTCTCCTGCTTGTGCTCGTGCAGTACGTTTGAAACGCGCTGCATGGAGCAGGTACCGATACAATAGAACCGCTGAGAGACTTCTTGATTTTAAGCGGAAGCGTGCGATCGCTCGCCGTGTCATCCGTGAAGCTAAATGCACTTGTTGGCGAGACTATGTTTCCACCATCACCTCTGCTTCTTCTATGAGTGCAGTCTGGAAAAAAGTGAGGAAATTGAGTGGTAAATACTCTCCTGACCCAGCTCTTGTTCTACGGGTCGCTGGTGTTGATGTAGCAAACCCTCTCGACGTTGCCATTGAACTTGGCACACATCTGGTCCGTATTTCCCGGGGGCTCCATCTATGCCCCTCGTTTCTTTCCTCAAAGTCTGCCAGAGAGTTAGTACCCTTGGACTTTTCTTCTCTCAGAGAAGAACAGTATAATGTGCCTTTTACACTTCAAGAACTAGAGGCAATGCTCTCAGCTTGCCGATCATCGGCAGCTGGGCCCGACGACATTCATATTCCTATGTTACAACATTTACATCGGTCAGCCCTTATAGTCCTCTTACACCTCTTCAATCTTATTTGGGCACAAGGAGTTCTTCCCCAGCTGTGGAAATCTGCCATTGTTCTCCCTTTCCGCAAACCGGGTACTACAGGACATGATGCCTCCCACTATCGTCCCATCACTCTTACTAGCGCAGTTTGCAAAGTGATGGAACGTCTCGTAAATCGACGTTTAATGTGGTATTTAGACACACACAACAGTCTCTCCGCTAGTCAATATGGCTTTCGTAAGGGTCGTTCTACCATACACCCCTTACTACGCTTGGATACGTATGTTCGTAATGCCTTTGCGAATAATCACTCAGTTATTGCCATATTTTTTGACCTTGAGAAGGCATATGACACAACTTGGAGGTATAATATTTTGGCCCAGGCCCATTCTTTAGGCCTCCGAGGCAATCTACCATCCTTCCTTAAGAACTTTTTAACTGACAGACATTTCCGTGTTCGAGTCAATAATGTTCTTTCCCCGGACTTCGTCCAAGCTGAAGGTGTCCCTCAGGGTTGTGTTCTAAGTACAACACTTTTTCTCCTTGCTATAAATGATTTGGCCTCTGTTCTTCCACCCAATATTTGGTCATCACTCTATGTTGATGACTTCGCTATTGCTTGTGCAGGCGCTGACTGTCATCTCATTGCAGTTTCTCTCCAGCATGCGGTCGACCGTGTTTCCACTTGGGCCACCACGCATGGGTTTAAATTTTCAAGTACCAAAACTCACCAAATTACTTTCACTAGACGCTTTGTCATCTCCGATCATCCTTTGTATCTCTATGGCTCCTGTATCCCCGAACGTGATACAGTCAGGTTTCTAGGCCTTCTCTTTGACCATAGGTTATCCTGGAAACCTCACATTACCTCTCTGAAGGCAACTTGTCACAGCCGGCTAAACCTTCTTAAAACCCTTGCTCATCTTTCCTGGGGAGCTGATCATCGAACTCTGCTTCGCCTACATTCAGCCCTCGTTTTATCGAAACTCGATTATGGTGACCAGATTTATTCCGCGGCCTCTCCTGCTACTCTCTCTAGCCTTAACTCTATCCATCACCAAGGATTGCATTTGTGCCTTGGTGCTTTTCACTCTTCCCCTGTTGAGAGCCTCTATGCAGAAGCGAATGTTCCATCCTTGTCTGATCGCCGTGATGTCCATTGCCTTCGCTACTATGTACGCTCTCACGATCTCCACAATCCTTCCATTTATAGAATGGTCACCGATATTAGTAGACATTCTTTATTCGTTCGCCGCCCCTGTTTGCTCCGTCCCTTTTCTCTTCGCCTACATTCACTCTTGTCTTCCCTTCAGTTACCACCTTTATATGTTCATGTAGCATCTCACTTTTCCCTTTATCCCTGGGAAGTTCCAGCTGTTCGGGTCTGTTCTTTCTCACTCCCTTGCTCGAAAGCTCAACTGCCTACGGTGGCTTCCCGCTCTCTTTTTCTTGATCACTTCCACTCCCATTCTCATGCCACCGCTGTGTACACAGATGGCTCTAAGTCTTCAGACGGCGTCGGATTCGCAGCAGTGTTTCCGGACAGCGTCGTGCGGGGGCATTTACTATCTTCGGCTAGCTAATATCCCGAACCCCTCCTTTAGAGTGCAGGCATTGTACTTCCCATTTCCAGGACTCAAGTCCAGCTATATAAAAATAACTGGTTTCCCTGAATCTCTTCACTAAATATTACCCTGCTCACACTCCAACAGATCGTCAGGTCCCAAATACCATTCGTCTCCATTCACTCCTATCGAACACGCTCATGCACGCCTGCTGGAAGTCCAAGCCCCTCACCCACAAAACCTCCCTTACCCCTTCCTATCAACCTTTGCTGCTGCCAACACTGTTTACAAACCTTGATATATTGTGAAAGACTCAGCATAGTATCAAAGGACACGCATAATCTGGGTATCATGTGCAGTGGAATTTTTCCTTTCAAACCCAAGTAGGGCCTAAAGGTTGCATGCCATCCCAACCACCTACAACTTCCTTCTGAGAGCATCGCTTGGAGCTAAACAGTTAACACTGCAACAGTTACATATGCACCTCCATACCTTTGGTAAATTTAGACTTTTTCACTTGTACTTCCTGGTGGGCAGTGATCTAGATTCATTTTGCTTAGTACACAGATTCTGCTCTGACAGTTCACCACATCTGGTATGGAGCTGAACTAACTGTGAATCAAACTGTAGATTTATACTCCTAAAGTGTTAAGTGTTGTCACTGTTTGGGTGGTATCCAGTCTTTAGTATTTACATTATCTTAAACACTATATCAATTCACAGAGAAAAATAAATTTAGTGAGTGCACCAGTGCTTCAACACATCTGATTATGTTAATGTATACTGTATTAAGAGAGACTATATCACTCACCTGGATAAGAAGACCCACTCCAACACACAGAAGACTGAGAAGGACTGACACATTGAGCATCACACATGACTGACGAATGCGAGCCCAGTTCCAGTTAACATAGAAAGCATCCTTGTATTTTGCCTCAATGTGAACATCCGAGCCCACCATGAGACGTCCAAGTAAAGGCTGCATATAAAATAAACAATTTAGCTCTTTGTATTCCTTTGAAAACAATAAGAAGCTAAAATATAACTGATATGGTAATAGAAATATACTTAACAATTTACAAACTGATGAATGTAACCTCTGTATTTGCTTTTCATAATGATTTAGACTTTATGATAAATTAAAAATTGCATTCGTTATTTCAAGATAGCACTGAACTATTATTTTATGATGGTTAAAACTTGTTATTTGGTATACTATTAACTTGTTATTGGTTATTTAACTTGTTAATTTATTTAGTACAGTTAGTTATTTAGCACAGCTTATTTAACTTCCCTTCTTTATTCAAAGAATCTATACACAAAATATCTAGGAAAACCATAAATCATTTTTTCACAAGCAAAGCATTACAAATGTTGAATTACAGAAAAATGTCAATAAATATTATTTTAAACACAGTCTTCTAAAAATGTGCCTATAGAAACACTGCAAGACTAATTTCTTTAAAAACTCAGGTAGGTGTGTATGTATGTGGACGAAGGGACATAAGTCGTTACACTGAGGACACTTTTATTGGAAATGTTTTGGACCTTAGTCACTTCAAATGATACAAAAGAATGAGAGGACACAATGTGGATATACATATATGGTACAGGAAACAAGTCGGTAGTGAAGATTAGGTGAAGGAGTTAAGTCATCTAATAGCCCTGTCAGGTGGCAGCAAGGAATCAGCAGGAAGTATCTCCAGTCTGGAATTCTTTGAAGAATTCCAATACATCTCCAATGCATTCATATGCTTACACTTGAAACAGTAAATGCCGAACTTGCTAAAATATCTATGTGGATCACAACTAACAAACACACTCAATATTTAAGGTACGTAATGTGTCTTGTATATTCATTGTACTTTTGTATCTTCATAGGCCTAGTTCTATTGGGCACTTACTGTATGATAGTGTAAGCATGTTATCAGGCTTTTATATGCATTTGAAAGTGAAAAAAGGTTATATTCCACTTTTTTGTGATTTTTGCTTTTCGGCAGTAGTCTGTAACCTAACTGCTGTATAGGTGGGGCCCTCCTCTCTCTAGTATTTATAAATTTATTTATTTATTCATTTTCCATATATTTCAGGCAGACAATAAGCAGATATATGGTGGAATTGATATTACCAGGTTTCAGGACATCATGAAAGAGGAAGATCACCTTGATAAAAAGTTAAATGCTACAAAGATAAAAGAAAAGAGGGGGTAAGTATTTCTGACAATAATATTTTTATTTTTTGACATTGATCAGTACAGTAGTTATTGATTAGGCATGAAGAATTAGAAATTTTTTGTGTTTATACCACTGGGAATTTCTCTTGCCTTTCATTGTATCAGTTCAAACCACAGAGCAGGTGGGGTTTGAATCCATGGTGAGTTGTAAAACTCCGTATGGTGTATAGAAATATACCTAGTTGGACGAATGTTATTGTAGCCAGCTGGCCCAGTGGCTTATGCACGGGCCTGGAATTTTACGATTCATTCGCTATGGGTTCAAATCCCATCCGTACCATTTTTTTTTTTTTTTATCAGTTGAAACCTGGAAACTTGTGTGAATGAATTACCTGTTACAAGAGGAGAGCTATTATATTCATGGTGCCCTATCTTCAGCGTTTAATACCATACTACCTCATCTCAAAGCTCATTTTAAGCACTTTCAAGTATCCTTTAACAATTGTTTTCTTTGTTTTCACTCATAGCCTTGTGTTCTCTCTGTCATTGATGCTAAGAAATCTTCATCAATTTTCTGATTTCTCTCTATGATTTTATATGCGGGTGTCATTCACAAATAACCCACACTTTGGAAAGGAAAATTGAGATTTCATTTTAGTTTTAGTTTGTTCTAGATTTAATAATGGTCCAGGATGGGTTGAAACATCATCTGGAGTTTACTGTCCTAAATGGACATTATTTGTGACATGTTTGAGCCATAGTAATGTCTTTTCTTTGTGAATATTACTTCCCTTCTTTTCCTCGTATCAGCCATGAGGGTGTTTGGTGTTTTCAGTCTTCATAATACTTTTTTTTGTGTTGCTCTAGGAGTCATTTTATTAAATGTCTTTGGAATTTTTCTGTCTTGTCTACCTGCTTGTGGCTCAGTTGGTATTGGCCTCAGCTCACACTGGGGGACTGGGGCTCAGTCCCCAGGCAAGTGGAAAGTTAGGCACATTTCCTTACGCATGTTGCCTCTGATCATTTAGAACCATATTTTATGGCAAACAAGATGCCTCAGTGTTGAGGATGTCCCCCAATTCTGATTGGCTAAATTTTGGAAAAAAAAGATAAACTGTACTTCAGCCTTCAAGGCTGGGTAAGTTTTCGAGACTTATTTTGGGGGAAAAATATCGCTTCCAATGCCATAAAATACAGTAAGTACCCAGGTGTTAGCTGGCTGCATCCAACAGTTTGATG